TATAAATTTACTCTAATTCCTGAACTTCATCTCATGTATTATGTACGGTATGCATTTAAGGTCTTTGTGTGCTAATGCATGGACCCTAGAATATATAGGGTTCATTGCCAGAGTAATGGATTACCCCAGGGGTATATGATGTCAATGTGTTGACACTCTACACCATGAACATATTACCCTTGAGTAAACCTCACTACTTCTGGCGACCTCTGCCAAAGATTGGACAGGGAGTATGACGGGCGAACGGACGGACTGCCTACTTGTCGAGGGGGGGGGGGGGGGTGGAAGAGGGCTTCTTCCAGGAACACCTCAGTACATTGCAACACCTACAGGTACTGTAAAACCTGAAAAATTATTGCAGCAAAATGATTGAACCACAATTTACACAACGCTAAATTATTAAAATTCTGTGTTTGCAGATGTTTACGTTCATTTTGAATAAAACACAATGAAATCTCAAATTTGTCTATATTTTTTTATCTGGTCACAAATTTGGAGACTCACTCTGAAATCCTAGGGAAAGAAATATCTCAAGTGTTTTCTGGTCATGAATATGCAGTAGTAGTGGGACCCTACATTATCGATGCTTTCCTCACCCATTACAAGTCAAGGAGATACAAGGTGGATAGGTTCTCGAGCTCTTTGACAAAGAGGTAACAATCTTCGTCCATCATGATGCAAGATGGAGAGAAACACCTCTCGCACAAGTGGATTTCTGGTAAGCTGAAACTCGTATTGATCAGCGTTAATCGCTGCCAATGCGCCTTGTCTCTCTAACATGTTTACATCAGTCAGAACTAGTGTGAAACTGGAGATGGTCAGACCCAAGGTGGCACGAATGCTCGAAAGGTCACCTGAAAAGTTTGATGAGATGAGTTAGCGATCGTGACAAAGACACCGTTTTAATCATCGTTTGATTGATTAGAAAATGATTCAAATTTGGAGAAGTCATGAATACTCTAGAGGGATGATTTCAATTTCACCTGTACTGAAACTTGTTTTCTTTTTTGTAATTGATTGGTGTTAAAGATACAATTTCATGTGATGAAGACACATTTATTAATCATTGTTTCTTTGATAAGGAAGTAAGAGAAAGAAAATGATTTAAATTCGGGGAAGTCGTGAATATCTTAGAATAGGATGATTTCAAATTTCAATTTTACACTTGTTTTCTATGGTTATTGAGAGGTGATGAAGAGTTGAAGATACAATTTCATTTGACCAAGTCCTGTGAGAAATCTGCAGTCCATCTCTATTGTATCATGGTAACAAGATCTACTTTGGCTTTTTCTATTTGGACACAAAGCAAAGATAGAAATGCGATTTCCAGGAAAACAAGTAGAAATCGAAGAAAGACGAGAGTCAATCAAGGGTCAGGAATTCTTCGGAGAAATCTGTGAGATTGACTTCAGAGAATAAGGGATGGAGCATCTTCTTTGTACTGTTTTCCAAGTAGATGTACAAGATCTGGGGTTGTAAGAGACGTAACAGATTATATTGACGATAGAGGAAGAAAAAATCCTGCCAAACCCTTCTTGCTTTTGCAAATAAATTTCCTTTTTTGGATCTGTTTTACTTAATCTGTCGTTGTACACACAGTACACAATTATATTTTTTGAGGGGTAGATTGTGTTTCTCCTACTGTTATATAAAGAACTTCAAATTATCAGGTTGAATTTTTGTTATAGAATTTATTGTAGGAGTAACATAATTCTATTCTTTTCAATCATTAAACATGTCAAATAACTATATGTATTGAAATCTGAGCACATTTATTGTGATATTGACATTTTGAACATTTTGAAATATAATTAGTCATACACATTTAAAACTTAAAATGCCTCATAAAATGGATCGTCATACTACATATGAGAACTACTTGTACATGTCTATTCAGTCTCAGATATTGTCTACATTTACATGTATGTAGATGTTTGAAGCAAGACAAATTGGTAAAACCCAAAACAATGGGCACACCTGATGATGACTAATAATTTTGTAGGCTTGATTTCCAAGTTCAAGTCTGGCATACACACAGAGGCAGGACACTTTCTACCAGCCTCCTACACAATACAGGCTTATTTCCGTATTTGGAATTTGCCCCCAAAACTGTGTCATATCCTTGGTGTTGTAAGACTTGCCATCATTCTGGGTTATTTTCGTGCTCCTTTTCTGGCTCCATTTCAAGAAAAGGACATGATGAACATCCTTTTTTGTTCATACTGTACGAAGGCTGGAAGAGGACTTGAAGTATAAAAACTTGAGCATTGATACCCCCCCCCCCCCCCAAAGAAAAAAAATAAAAATAGTAAGGATATGATTCGTCACACAACTTCATGTCAATAGTGTACCAAAGCTGTTATGTTATTTTACTCTGGCTAACATTACGAACCAGAGCAAAATAACAGTGATTTCCTATTGAAATCTATTTATTTGGATGGTCATGTCCCAGCCAATACTCAGTCATATTCAATCAGTTTTCAACATTTGGACACTATTTTGATGCTCTTTCGGAAAATGAAGTTCAATTTTGGAAACTCTAAAAATAGTTTTTGATGACATCACACTTGACGACTCTATTCCTTCCATTGCTAATTTCATACCAGTACATTTACGTTTTAAGCAGTTTCCATGAAATTTAAGAGACGTTACTTCCTTGATCCTTCTTTAGACTTCTTGAGTCCTTGGTGATTCTATCCTGTAGACTCCTGTACTTCCTTCTTTATTTTGCATGTATTCTAGAACTTCTAGTGAACTTTAAAGGTAAAGGCCAGTTTTGGAAACGGCCCCCTCTCAAAAAATGAAATGGAAGCTCTTATTTCCAATCATGTGAAAGAATATGTTTTGACTAATTATACGTGATGATACAAATTTTGCCAAGAAACCGCCTACTAATTGATATATTTGGTAAATTATTATATCTATTTGGACCTGAAAGATATCGCACACGCGTCGCGCACGTGTCGCGTAGTCCCATATACATCTTTCTGTGTACAGTGCTTGTAACTTTACGAAGACTAGGCCAAATTTCTTATTATTTTGATGATTCCAGAACCCTGCAGTACACACCAATACTTATATACTAGATGATCAACCTTTTATGATCGATTTCACAACGTTTCTTTCACAATGCAATCGCATGACCATAACTGGTTTTTATCTTTAAATGCTTAATAGTTAATGATGATTTTAATACACAGTGTAATATGCCTCACATCTCTGTATCTTAAAACACAGAGCTCATGCCATTCTTGTACATTAATGTATGTATAGAAATAGAATTCCAGTTTGTAGGCCTGCATTAATCAAGCATTAAAAATTTGCCAGTCATAATTGATCAATGCCCCTGTGTTGGGGATGAAAATTAATTTGAATATTGTCCAGGTTAACAGTTTTTTAGGGGGTGATTGCTGCCTATGAGTGATCATTCTGTAGGGGATAATGTGAGGAATGACTAACGTGGAACACTAAACTTGATGACCCGTCACCCTCCATCATGACTCATAACATAATCCACGTGCTATTTTACTTATCTCATGCAGTTCAGCCTGTTCAGCCTGTTAAAGGTACTATTTCACTTTTGAAGACAAAAATATTTTGAAAAATCAGTCTAAAAGGTGATGGGAAGCAAGGTCTGTGATTTAATTTATTTATGCCACTATTCAGATTGAATTTTAAAGTATTCTTATCAAAATGAAAATTGATATTTCCTCATTAAACATTGATCATTCAACTACATTCATATTAACTATGTCAAAATGTTATATTGGTTGAAGATATATAAACACCACAATATCTGAATAGCACTATTATCTTGTGTCTTTCAAGATGAACTTGTTTATGCTATTTGTCCGTTCACTATATCCTCTTCTCTTCGTCATTTTCGGAGATACAACAAAAATTATAATCCCAAAGAAAATCTTAAATGACTGGGGAAATGAGATACCTGTATATACATACATCTGAACATGCACAACACTGTCTATGGGCAGAGAACTGATGCGCCCAGAGGTTCTCACCTGTTAATTACACCTCCGATTTATAGCAAGTTCCAAACACTTACAAGAATGTACTTGTACGAGTCTGTGCCAGGCAGGTGCAAATCAGCCCAGAATTCAAGATCAACAGTTTGCAGTACTACGTCCTGTATGGACAGGTGCTATACTTAATGTTAAACCAACAACACCTTGACTTTATTGTCACCTTATAAAGAATATAGAGCCTTGAGTGACATCTCTGAGACTTTGGGAAAGAGAATAATAATAATGGCGATTGTTTACCAAGCCTTTGGCAGAACAAACAATTTTTGCTTTTAGCAATCTTCTCATAGCACTGGGAAGGTGTAGCAATCGACATGTTGGTGATGATTTTACAACCAAACTCGTGCAAACCCCTCGAAGTTGAAAAAAATCCATTTGGAAGAAGTGAGGTGATTTAACCATTTAGCAACTAAACTGTCCGAAACCGCCTCTCCTTTTACTCACTGAAGTGCCCAAAACCGCCCATCAGTTTCTCTCATTTTATAATTTTTCCACATAATCCCACTTCTAGAAGTAGGATCCGGTGAAATCTAATCGTTTTGAGACGTATCATGTTACCGTTCCTGTGATATCAACTCTACTTGAAATTTTCAGCGCAAATATTGAAACTGTCGACGAGGGAATCCCGGGGAACGTGGAGGAAATGTCAAGTGGTGTAGGGGAGGGGTGGTTTGTTGATCAAATGATTGGGTTCACAAATTGGAGAGCATCTCATGATTTCTGATATCAGTACCCCCAAATTGAAAGATATTAAATTGTGAGATGAAGAAGAGGTTGGAGCTTCTGAGGAAACTGATTCAATTACTGAGAAATATTTTTCAAGTGAAGAATTGGGAATTGCTGGAAAAGATTTCTGATTGACTTCAGAAAGGAAAATATAAGATTTACCCCGAGGAAATCTGACTTTTCTTGTAGTAAATACAAAGAGAAGATTTTTTTTTTTTATTACAAGTGATTATCATATAATTTTTCACTTTTTCTTTAGATTTCTTTTATTTTCTTTTTTCATTTAAACCAAAGCTGATATTGTTGAGGTGTGGAATATACAATACAAATATTTTATAAAGGTGCTTTAATACTGAAGAAATACATTTATATTTAAAGCCTCCATGATTTTGCAGGATGTTCTTGGAGTTACTGAACTTTTATTTCCTCCATTTTCTTTCTGTGACTGACATCGATAAGATCTGACTGCATGTTCATGAACAATCTGCGCATGATGTTGAATAGGGAAAACGAGCCTTAATCATAGTTCCCCAGTCCAATCAGGTCATTTGAAAAGGTTGAAGGGAAGAATCTCTGCATTGGATATTCTAGTCAGGTTCACACGACAGTCAGTTAAGGTCATAGTTTTGTAGTTGGAGACTGTGCGGATGCAATTGTGGATACAAAACTTAAAGTTAATTCGAAATTACAAACCACGATCTTAAAGGTCTTAGGGTCCGAAGTCAAAGTTGTGTGTCATGGACGCAATTGACTTCGAGGTTACGCCAGCATGTAGTTAATATATGACTGCGTGTCCAGTTTTGTATGCTGTTGTTTAAAACTGTGAATCCTCCTCGTTGTTAGTGGCATACATGTATGGTTTATAATTCGAGGTTTTGCAAACTTAAGTTTAATACTACATGATCCCATGTGAACATTGCTTCTGTCGGATCCCTTGTGATTAAAAGCATCTTCCTTGGAGCCATACATGAAGATGCGATCTTATCTTGGTGTCTCTCCTCGGCGTCATGGAAGCAAGTGGACTTAATCAGAAGTACCGGATTACGTGGCGTTGCATGGCGTGGCAGGATGGATAGGTTTGTGACCGACCTGAACAGACTTTGAAATTGTTCTACCAGTGAACTTCTGTTGTTGGAAAGCAAGTTTTTTTAATTAAAGGCTAGCCAACACAAACCTGCTATATGTTCTTAATTGTCTTGTTGATTCATTGACCTTTGATAAATGAATGAGTCTCACTATTCCTTTATTTGTATGTTTCTGTTCTTATTGTGGTCAGTTTTTTAAACATGTAAATGTATTTTTGACATCACATGTAAATATATGTTTTGTACAACAAAAATTAGGAAAAGTAATACTTTTCATGGTAAAATGTTCCGATCACAAATCTATCCTAACGTATTAAAAAACAATGAAATATCACATGCACTTGACAGAAGCTTGAATCGCTCCTTAAAAGTATGATCTTTTATGGAAACACTTCTACTGGAGTATGACTTCTTGCTTCCTACTAGAAATCAAGTACTTCAGATGCCTAATCCTCAGATTATGATGGTTGCCAATATTGCCTAATGCAACCTTAGTGATATGCTCCGTAGTCTGTGCAGAAATTACGCATGAATCAGGTTCAGTGTGTGTTCCCACTGAGCAGTGAAGTGAAAGAAACTGCATTCACATTGCAAGTTTTATAGTGCTATTCTATTCTAGAAGACTGGATCTGCAACACTGTGAATACTTAGTACAACTACAGGGCAATGGGAAAGCTCCCTGGTTTGGTACATGTAGGTAAATGTGATGAAATGGATGCATTCATACTGCCAGAGTATCGTTAACATTAAGATGATAGCAGACTGACAGAGTAATAACATCAGTGCAAACAGGGCTTGTGTTGCTCTTAGGATAATGGCATCAATGTTTAACGGTTCCGTATTTTATTTATGGAGAAAGGATGGTAAATGCGAAACACATCAAGGCAATGGATCTATTCTTAGCAGTGAATATATTTTTGTGAAATAGTAGTGTACCTACTACTACCTACATGTAAGTAGAGCCTGAACTTGCAGTACATTGTAGTCACTGACCTGTGTTATTTCATTGCATGTATTGTATGTACTAATATTGAATAAAGCACTGTTGGGGAAATGGAAATGAATGAGATTGTGAACAAATGTATGAAAGAAAGAAGAAAATAAATAGACTGATTGAAAGAGAGAGAGAGGGGGGGGGGGGGGGGGGAGGGAGAGAAAGAAAGAGAAAGAGAGAGAGAATATCCAATACTTGCCAGAAGGTAATCTGTTTCTAGGGCCTCTGTTTTGTTTAAAACTTATTAGTCTGATTACAGTATATCAATTCATAGCTTTCTCGTAAATCAAGTGTGGCATTTTCCCCTTTTGAAAGGTCATATTGAGTAGGGTTCAGACTTTATACAGTCACATGAACTCCTACAACTTTCCCCAGGCCTAAATCCTATCCCTTCTCTCGCATGTCCCCTGATATTAAATCTCCTAAAGTATTAACGACAAGTCTCACCATCTCATGATCTCATCTCCAACTTTTCTTCTTCCTTTCTTTCTTTCCTCTACAGGTTACAGAACACCAGGAGGACAAGAGGAACAACTAGGGAAATTATTGAACTACGACATCATCACACCGTATCGTTTAGCGGGCAGGGAGCGCAGGCAAGCCCACACAATTACTCAGGTACCATAGAGATTTCTCATCTCCATTTCATTTAAATATTTAGGGGATGACTAAGTGCAGTGCTTGATCGGTATTAAATACTGCTCACGTTTGCAATCGATTATAATGGGAGCACTGTAAATTGTGAATGGTTTTGTTGCCAATTTGTAAAGAAAAAAAAAGTGATCAGTAATTTAGATGTATACAAATAAGTCAAGTAGGAACAAATGGCATGTTTTTTGTAAAATATTTTCTTTAAATATTGTAGAAACAGTATTTTTCTGTTAAAAAAAATAATATAGTTATTTTTATATTTATTTAGAGATACCAATAGGCCAATGATTGATTTTAAGAGAAAGGATAATGTGGACGGGAACTGCAGGAAAAATAAAACGGACTGAAAAATTTATGTTATGATGCATGAGATAAAAGTGAAAAGTATCAGGGGGAAAAGGAGAGTGAAGAAAGGAGAAAAGGAAAAGTGAAAGGAAGGGAAAGAAAGGGTGAGAGATTGAATTAGAAATGAAAATACATGTAAGTACATGTATATCAATATTATTTATCTTTATATCAGCTGTTTTTTAAATATCATTGCCATTGTCATTGCCATTGTCATTGCCTAGCTTAATTCAGCTTTATTTTGGAGGATCATTTCTTTTTTTTCCCCTCACATCAAGCCGCTTTCCTTTTAGTTCTAACCGGATTATTCCAAGAACATCCAGCTAACCCTGATTCCGTTGAACGCTGCCTATCTGGATCCCTTTATTGCATCGAGGGAAATCCGAGCCTGTAGACATGCACAGGGTCATTCAGGTTCATTGCTGTAACAAGAGTCCTGGATACAGCCAATGATCAACCATTTACATTGTAGATTGGTGCCTCACTGCAGTCCAATAAAGCAGTGCCCCTATAAACCTTGTGATCGAGAGGAAAATGAGTGAGGGTATTCTAGGGGTTTCCAATTATACCAGGGAAGTTGAAGTGGAAACTCTTTGATTATAGTTTTTGCCCTCGACCACCATCTACGTGTAGTAGGTCTATGATTTCACCCCTACATGTAAAAGAGAAAGAAAAGCAAGGAAGGAACCTTTGACTTCTGGACACATTCCTTGAATAGTTGCAGAGTAATTTTGAGAAATTTCCAGGAATCTTGTGAAACCTGAGCTAAAGCTGGCCAACAGGTAGCTAAACTTGATGTTCTCACTGGAATATACTTGCGCTGTTTATTGTTAATACACCCATATTGAAAGCCAAAAAACTTTCGTAACTTCCAAACAAAGTCCAATTCCAAGGCAAACAATATTTTACATAAGTGCAAATTTTTATTGTTTTTTCAGATGAGAGTCAATTATATTAAGGTGTTAAACATTTGTGAATTTTAATCTCTTTCAATATTTGCGACAAGTTCTTTTTCCCCCTCAGTATTCAAGTAAGAATGTAGAGAAACCAGAACACAAGTAGGGATCATTGCATTCTTCTCCATCTCCAAATACCTCACTCGATCAATCCGAATTTCATTTTCACTTTAAGGAAATTTCAGACTTTGTTCAAGTGTGCCTGTAAATACCACTAATCTTGTAGAGTACTTCTCCAGCACCCCTTTATAGAAACTCATGGTACTTCTTATAGGGCATCGTGCTTATTGGGGTAAATTAGATTCATAGTTTCTAGGGCAGAGAGCCTTCTTACATCAGATATAATCCTAAATAGGATTCATTAGATGGGAATGTAGGGCAAGTCCAATTAGAAACCCCTTTCAAAATACCTTCACCTCCTTTCACCCATGAAACTTCCAGAGAAGTTCTGGGGCCTGTTTCACAAAGCCTTTTTTCAATGACAAATAACAAAAATCAGTGACAAATCTGATGATAACCAATCAGAAGCAAGGATTTCAGTAGCTTATAACAAAAACGGTCATTTGTCACTGATGACAAGTTTTATGAAACGCCCCCCCCCCCTGGAGGATATGTTGAAAAATATCCTGCTTGTGAAGCAGTGAATATAATATGAGATGTCACCTGAACAGTGGCTCTGTTCTCCCAACAATTCTTTTCTATCGTTGATACAAAATAAATTCATAAATAAATAAATTAACTTGAATTTAGACAGTCAGTGATTAATGATGTCAAGTGCACAAGCTTTCATTTAAAAAATGACAACACTGACTGGAATTCATCCAAAGCAATGCAGTTTGACATTTATATTAGGTTCTCCTGCAGATAACTTATTGTAAGCATTTTGAAGTGATTACCTATTATTTTCTTGGAGGAATTCCACCTGAATATAAAAATTTCAGATTTTTTAGTACAGAGCAAATGGGAGGGAACCTTGCAAGATATGTCACAGAATTGCCAATTTGTGTTTGATCAAGTGCTAGCAGGGCATCTGGAAACACCTTTCATATTTTAATACTAACATTGCTTTCACATCAAAGAATCAACATGGCTTTAGTCGACCACAGACAAGACAATAGTGGGATTCACACCCAGAGAAATTAGTGATTCAATTTTTTAAAGATTTTTTAAAAGATTTTTATTCAAGATCAGAATCTCACTTTTTTCTGTGTGTGAACCTCAAAATCTTGCTAAAAAATAAAATCCTGGTCGCGATCAGACTCTCACCAAAAGTGTCATTTAAAAAAAAATAATTGCTATTATTTGACCAAGCATTTTGCGGTGTGAATAAAAGCTAGATAACAGCGCTTGTCAAGAATTGAAAATTGAGATTTAGAATTTTTTTTAAGAGTAGGATCGGTGGCAAAAAAGTTGAAAATAGAATTGAGCTCAAAATCGCGCTAAATTCATTTGTGTGAATGAGCCTGATGTTAAAATTTTGCGCAGACAGAGTGTTGACATACATTGGGGCTTCCATGTGTATGCTTGGCAATGAAGGTGAAATAACAGAAGAAAATCAATCATTGAAGTGTTATTTTACACTGAATAAATGTTTATTAATCACTTTAAAAGTGCTAGAGAAACACAACCGTTTTGTTTGTGCAAGAATCCAAGGTAGCTACATTGGCTGCGTTTACACTGCAGGCATAAATCATTGTTTATATCACATTCCAGTGTTTCATCGGTAGTTGCTGAGTGCTACCAGCAAACACAAAGAAAAACAGAAATAAAAAAAATCCACTACTTTAGATTGTTTTTTTGAAACGCTGGCAGAAATTTAACTGATTTTTGCAGTGTGAATGCTCACTCTGGAAACATTGGTGAATGATTCCGAGTGTTGGTCATGTGAATCTCCTTCCTTCATTTTTAATCGGTTTTTTTACCAATAGTGTAAATGAAGTCCAAAAAGTTGGTGATTTTCCAAAAAGGGTTTGGGCTGTGTAAATGGGCGTATTGATGGCAATGGCCAAACATTTCCCCTGCACAATACAAGATATTGCTCCAGAAAAACAGAGTTTCTTTATATATGCTGCCAAATTTACAAATCAGGTACATCACAAATGCGCTTACATGTACATTAAATAAAATAAATAATTTGATTCCTTTGTCAATTGTTTAGGATAAGTAGCGTGATAAGGTACTCGAATGATACTCGAATAGTATTGCAATTGCCTCTTATTTTAATTTGTTTTCATAATCATTCTCAAATATTTAAACAGCAAATTGCAAGTATTGCATGTATGTTATATGGAAGAAATACATGTAGTTATATGTTTTTAAAATAACTGAACATGAACTCGATCCGATAGTGTTCCTCATAAACCATGACATTTGGCCTAGCAGGTGATAAGGATTCCTTCATTGTGTGTAATGATATGCTTTCAAGTGCTAAATCATTGCCAGTTGACTGCACATGTCTGTAGCCTTCTCATGGGAGGAGGATTTATGTACCGGTATTGCGAGAATAATCTTATTCCAAAATTCTTTATTTCAAACATGGACAGTTTTTTTCAGATGCACTTGAGCATCCTCTTGCTTCACTTGCGGTTACTGTGAATATCCTCAGGATGTACTTAAAGGGATAGTTGATTTCTGTTGCAGAGGGCGCTACACAATTGTTTTTTGTGAAATAATGAACAACTGACTGTCAAATTTGAAAGAACATACAATTTAAATGACAAAATCATCTTTGTTTGATCAAAATCGGTTCGGAGATGGCTGAAATATCCATAAATATAACAATTTCTGATACTTGTGTACCACCACAAATATAAGATAATTTGAACCAGCCGTTGAAAGCCGTTGAAAAAACAAAATAGCGCTTTTTACCTTGTATTTCAGCCAATGTCGATGTTGGCTTTTTCGTGTTGGTTATATTACGCACAATCAGCCGGCCCATGTATTGTTATTATTAATTGATTAATTAATTAACGGTCATCATATTTTTTTTAAAGTGGAGCTGAATTGGTATGATCATATTGGCTAAATTTCACACATTTTGGGGCCTAAAATTACCTTCTTAGCAATTTTAGGTCCTAAAAGGACACTAGAAATGTCATAAATAAGGAGAAGAGCAATATACATCCCTTTAAATGTAAGCAGTCCATCATTCCATAGATAAGCAGTGAGATCTCAAAATGGATGTACTGTATAATATGAATAAAGATTTTTTCTTATGTGAAGTACATGTACAATGTATGGACAACTTTGATGCCACTGCACTTCAGTACTCCGAACCTAAACTGGCCTGTAATTGCAAGCTCATTGTAAAGGTGGTGTGCTCATTCATTTCATGTTCATTGCCTCAAGGGTTTCTCTTCAATTGTTGCAATTGAAAAGAGGTTGTCGATTGATGTAAGCTAACAAAAGTTTGTCCATGTAAAGTAGGAGAAGAAATTGCCAGATTTCCTTGATTTATGTTTGAGGCTTGAGGTACTGCCAGCCCCTTGCTGACAACATGTCTAAGTTCTATAGTACCGGTATATAGATTTTTGCTAAAATTTTGGAATGCTAAATTAAACATTTTTTCTTATGTGAACAGTGTCAAATTATGAGTTGTGAACTAACAAGTTTACATCCAATTTATTTATTATAATCTAATTTTTATGAGGAACTTGGTCAGAACAG